CGATCTATTTCATAAACCAATAGCAACTACTAAGATTTCCCTCTTTCCCTAAATTAAGACATTTTAAGGATTTTACTTTGCAAGATTTTCCCTAACATATAACCAAGGAGCGCAACTTTTCATGTGCACTTTTTACACTTTTCTCATGACTGCACTGTCTAATAATTAATAAATAAATTTTGTACCCTCCTTCCCGACCTAAGACCTGTTTTAATCCTTCCACTCGGCAACGACGTTATATGTGTGTGTGTGTATATGTATATATGTACATATATACTTTTATATACATATATGCACATACATATATAATAGAGTGGCTAAAACATATATATAAAGAGAGAGAGAGAGAGAGACACGCATTTACAATATATTTTATATAACTTAGATTTAATTCAGTTAAAAATTAAAATACCTTTCACAATCCATCTTTGCATAATCCCAATTATGGGTGAAAGTTTTTTCAAATATTTCTAGCTGAACAAATGCTTCAGCTTCCTTTTGTAAAGGGCATATTCCAACTCTGAAAAAGTAAAAAGGTGTTATGAACTTTCTTTGCAGTTTTTTCCTAGATAATTGTTGACGGATAAAAAAAAAACTCCGCTATTCATGTTATTTGAAAAAGAACATAATATTTTAACCCCAATGGTTGAGAATCAATTTATCTGAATATCGCGAGCATTAAATTAAATATTTCACTTCTGTCTTCAAAAGGCAAGTCAGTAAAGTTATTTATTTTATTTGTTTAAATATTCCGCACCGAAAGTTGAAAGTTCTTTTTTCTAACTTAAATTTAAAAATGAAACAGCCACTGTTTAAAGGTCGTTCAGCATCAGTTGTAAAAATCAACTTCGTGTTTTTATGCAGAAACAATTAAAGTTTCATAGTTAGCCTCATAAAAATCTTTTCTAAATTAACATATAGTTTCTGAATTATCCTCGTAACAGAATATAATAAAGATTCCAAACTTATTGTCATAGATTACATAGATTTATAACGTAAATTTTCCTTACATATAATATCTCTTAAAATTTTTTTAGCTTCTAAATCACAAACCTGTTTAGCAGATCTCTCTCTTTTTTACAATGTTGATGATGTTGACCATAAAGTTTTATCAGAGGAGTTTACTTAATTCTTTGTCATTTGTTGCCGGTATTAAAAATATTTTTTCACATAATCTTTTAAAATATTTCGTATGAAAATTTAACATAAAGTGAACTTGCAAGAAAAGTACACTCCTAAAATGTTTTTCTCAGACATTTTTTCCAGAAACGAAATACTGTAACTCTCTTTTTTTATATTTCCATTAAATAATTTATGCTAAAAAAGTTATAAAAATAATTAATAAAAATATAAGTTTCGATTAATAATTGGGGACCACTGCCAGGAAAAGATGTAATATCTATTCAAAGGTATGGGCATATTAAAATGTATTTAACATAGTACATGTGTTTCATTAAAAAGTGTTTCGATAAGAAATATAAGTAGTTTTTCAGATTGTGTTACATTCGTTTGATAATTTAAATTCTTTTTATTATTTAGATGTTTCAGTCTTTATTATTTCTGCTTCCAAAATTAGTTGAATAAAAATATTCATTAATCAATCAAACAAAATTTGAAATTAGGTTAAAAGTATTTAAAAATTGAAGTTTTATTTTCTTAAATATCATTTTTGGTAATAAAAAAAAATAGACATGACATTATTTATAAGGATTTGCTAAAAAAATCGACATTTATAATGACCTTATAGTTTTAAAATAATTATTTAATAGATCTTTTTGACTAGAATGTGAAAAATATTATATTAGGAGATATGGCGACTTTGCATAATTTGAAGTTTTTAATCAAAAGAAGAAAAAACCAAATCTAAGTTAAATTTTTTAATAACTTATGGTACGTACTTTATTCATTTTTTTTGTAATCATAAATCTTGAAATTTTTGATTTTTTTCCCTCCATTTTCTTCGCTTTACAAATTAAACCAATTTAGGAAAATTTTGTATCATATTGATGCTCAAAAGAAACGAAAATGTCAGCAATGTCAACTAAGAATTTAATATTCGGTTGATTTCATCATTAATTTAAAAAAATATTTGTTATAGTTTAAGTGTCAGATATTTTTTGCTTTAAAGGTTTAATAAATACCTTTCTACTGCAGCATCATCATCGCAAACTTGCGCAGAATCACTTTTTTCTGCATAGTATGATGCTTCAGAATCCACATTCCAATAAATATGCCTAAAATAATAAAAAAATATTTTTAATTTTCTTATTTTTCGAGGTAATTAAAACATACTTTTAAAAACATGCTTTTAAAAATTTATTTCACTTTTGTCATTAAATTAAGATATTTCTTTTATAATCAAATTATGATTTTATTATAAAAAGAACATAAGATTTAAGTAAAAAAAGTTTTTTATATCAAATTTGAAGAATTATAGCATGTTTAATCTATATAACAAATCTTCTACTGCAATTTTTAAAATAAAATTGTGTTGAAATGTGAAATTTCTTTTTCTCGATTAATTTATTTTCATTTTTTAATTATTCTAGAATATCTTTATAAACTTAATGCATAGATTTGATAATAAATTGTTACTTTATGCTCTTATCGGAACAATATTTTCTGTATTGTTAAAAAGTTGTGACATAAATTTTTTTTAAAAAAGTATGTTTTTTCATCCATGCAACTATCATTTACATTTTGAATTAAGTAATTTAAATGTATTTAATACCAAAATGAATTGTTATCCTTAGTACAACTTATGATACTGAAAAATATGTATTTTTTTATTTGAATAATAAGTGGAAACTACTATTTATAAACAAAAATACTAAATATAATTAGAATATCATCAGTGTCTTCTTCAGAAATTATTGTTTTGTAGTTATAACAATTTTAATGTAACAAATAAACTACAGATTATTTGTTACACACATTAAAATCATTTTTTTTTATAGAAAACTTTTATTTAAAATTCGCACAAATACCTCTCATTGTCAACTACTTCACTCGCCAAATGAGGAGGGACACTTTTCTCCTCGTAGGCATTTTCGAACGAATCGAACATTGTATCATCCCAAGAAGTTTCATCAACTCTAAAATAAAATAATAGAGTGTGTACTTTGTTTCATTTGATTAATTTTAACATTGAAGTTCAAAAGTTACATAAATTTCTGTTTTATTTATGTTTTTTTTAAATAAGAATATTAGATAGATAGATAGATCAATATACCTATGACTTCTAACTACATTCTCAGGGACTCTTTTCGGAAACCATTCGCAAATAGTATTCCAAAGTGAAAATGTGGGATCAGGTAGTACATTTGGCTCTTCAGTATCTTTAATCCCACTGTTTGATTCATCAAGATCAACACTAAAATGAAAAAAAAATGGTGTTGTTATCTTTACAACTTTCTTTACATATTCTTCATACATGGTTACACTTAAAGATTCATATGTAATATTTTTGTGGAAAATTATAAGGAATTCCCAAAAGAGAGGAAAAAATTTATTAAAAAATGTTTCTAAAATTAAAAAAATGTTTGGAAATTAAAATTAATAAAATATATAATCTTGTCATCAGCTCACACGATTATATCTCAACTACATCCCAAAACATTCCTGTTTTTTTCAATACTTTTTTTTCTTTCCTCCAAGCCAAGCTTCCCAATACTGTATTAATATATTTAAAGCAATTTGAAAAATATTTATTTAAAACTTAAGATATGTATGCATCGTTTTCTTTTAAAAAAGTGAAAAGCGTGTTTTACCTTCTTTCCAAACTCAAATTTGTGTTTTGCAAAACTGTTTATTATTTTCTGAATATTCTTAATTACCTAATGATTTGGTATATAGATTTGTTAAAATTTTTTTGAAATTTTATTCCAGTTGTTACAATGTAGATTTTAATTGCCTACCTTACATCTAGAATTTGAGGTCAATATTCAATTCTTTATGGATTCAAAGATATACATAAAACATTTAAAATATTGAACTTTCTTTATTGTGATATGAAAATGAGTTTGCTTTTTTATCTGATGAGCTGTTGCAACAAAAAAAAAATCTGATATCATTTATGCACATTCGATTTTTTTTATAAAGTGCGTCAAACATAAAATATAGTGAAAAAATAAATTTAGAATTGAAATAAATTTTTTGTTAAATACTGCAAAGTATGTAAGGATTTGTAATATTCCGTCAATCCAGAGAAAGTCATAATTTATTGCAGTTATTGATGGTTGGAAAAAAAGGAAGTAATAGCAATCGGGCTGCAAAAACGAGACATTATCTGTGAGAATAGATATTTTTTTAAAAAAATAGTTATGCAGATGTTAAATGAAGAGAAAGATTCTGCCGAGTTATGGTTGCTTCTAGTATATGGCCTGGTCTATTACAAAATACTTCAATAATGTACCTAAATTGTAAATAAATATTTTCTTCAATTAAATTTGCTTGATAAACCGCTAAAACCGCTTGATAAGCCGAAAAGAAAGTTATCTGTTTTGACCACAACAAATAGTATTTATAATACTTGTTTTGGTTTAAAATAAATCTTAAGCAGATAGCTTAGTACTTTTGAGCCACAACATCTTTGCTTTCCTTTTTTGGTTCAGAATGTGTTTCTTCCGAATCTTTTCCCACAGATTCCTTCTTAGCACTTTCCACACTAAAATTGTAATAAAATATTGCTTTTATTATTTAAGCAGATAGCTATACATACATTTAAAAGAAAAGATTTTATTCTAATAAATTAATTAATAAAAATATTTTAAAACATTTCGTGAAAAATCTAATTTCATGAAAGCTTTGAATTGAAGACTGCTCTTAAGAAATATATTATATCCAAGATGCTAGTTACAAGTTAAAAACTGTAATTTTTTCTTAAAATTAAAAATGAATTTAACAATTAAAATACGTAAATTAAACTAAGAAATTGAAAATATTATTCTTTTCACTAATTTATTATAAAATCGAATTTGGTTCATACTTTAATTAAACTAAATATTTTTTTACCTATTTATTTACCCTTATTTACATACATTTTGCAACTCTAAAATCACATTCTTTTTAATTGCAATATATAAGAAAAAGAAACAATTAAACAAAAGATTTTTTAAATTAATTTCAATAATGTAACTTAGTGTAATTTGTAGCAAATGAAAAAATAATCGTTTTAATTAATTATTATTACTTTCGGGATAATCTGCGCAAAAAAAGTTTAAGTTTTTAATTTATCTTTTTTCTTTATTTCAGTTAATGTTATTCCTTATTTTGTCGAACATTGTATTTTCAGTAAGTTAATAAGTTTCTAAATTGATATA